TTCTATACTTACAGCTGCGAGGATGGGAAAGCGGAAAGAGGATAAACGCTTAACTGCTACGATATATTGATCACTCCGTATTATGGTATTTTTCTTTTTTTTGTCTAAAATCTACAATTAATTAAAAATTTCTTTTTTGTACTGTAAGGACCTTAATGGTCTCTAGTGCTGGCAAAAAAAAAAAAAAAAAAAAAAAAAAAAATCTGTTGTGTTCTTTTAGACAGTTCAATTCAGATCTATCGAACAGTTGTGTACATCCACCTAGTGACGATGATGATTTTATTGATGTTGAATCTACGAGTACTGTCACTACCAATACTATCACAGCACCATATATTAATGAGAATGATTACGAAAATAGAACATCATCTTCTTCATCTTCAACTAATACAACAACTTTCGCCTCGCCAGTACGAACGCTCAACACAAAAGTATCTCCTATTCTTCATGAATTAGATAATTCAACTGATTATAAAATCGTTAAAAACGCTAATATATCGAATAATTTAGGACATTATTTACCAGTAAATGGCAGAATAATATCAAAACGTTCAAGATCTGACAGTGACAATGAAGAAAATAGTAAAATAAATAAACGTGTTAAACAACAAGACGAACAACGTACACGTTCAACTTTTGTCAAACATGATTTACGTAACATTGAAACATTAATTGAACCAAATAAAAAACATTTGCAATCTACATCGTCTGATCCATCACCATCACAACAACATTTTCTTCCAAATCATAATCATACACTAGAATCAAATTATTTGTGGTTATTATATGCGAATACATTAGCACACGCTCATTCATCATCGACATCTCACATGCATGGCGGAGGTTCTAGAAATACATTGAATAATATTTCACTATTGTCTCCAACTTCATCAACGAACACTTCGATGGCCGCATTACAACGCTATCTATTGTTGACGAACAATTCAACAATGTCACCAATGCTAATGAATACATTTCCCTATCAGCCACATTTTATTAATCATCTATATCATAAAATTTCGAATGAAACAAATTTACATTGAGCTTTTTTGTTGTACAGATTTTTTTTCTTTTCAATATATATTTGTTGTTGTTTTCTATTTTTTAAATACTTTTCTAAATACATGTGATCAAGTTTGCTTCAAAGACTCGTATATCATTCATTGTGGGTTCAATGTTTATTGGAAAGGGATTTATTTTAGCATAATATTTACTGCAATAGAGAAAAACAAAACTCTTAAAATAATAATTTTTTTCAGCATTTTGCATCTTGGCACGCAATACGTAAATAAACTTTTTAGATGGATCTCAGAATATCAATACGCAATATATTCTTAAAATCCTATTAGTTTTATACAAGTATACATGGGCTTGGTGTATTCTAGATCAGAATATACTTTTGCTTTCTTGCTGTTATTATTGTCACATTTGTTCAACTTCAACCAACATGTAATGAGGCAGCTCGATTTGTTCGAAAATAAAAAAAATTTAGACTGAATACACTGCTATTCGCATGTATCAGGAGATAAACTGGACCTGGTGTATTGTAATATGTTCTCAGGTTTTAGTCAAAAATTAGTCGTAGAATGTTGTTTCGTAACTCACTCTCATGCTGGGCCCTCCTCCCCAGCCTGATCCGTATACTAGAATACACCACAGCACACCAAAACCAGCAACTTTTTTGTTAAAGAAAATTTTGAGAATCTCCTGTTTATTGATATTCTGAAATCTCTAACTTATGAGTAGAAAAACAAGAGAAACAAGAAAAACAAAAAACATCGGCTTATAGCCAATTGTGTGCGGTGTATCTTTAATGATGTGTATCTCTAACCTATCCGACTAATTTAATGTTTTTAGAATCTCATTTTGATAGTCATCCGGATTTTCACCAAAAAATGGAAACCAACTAAAACTAAGTTTTGTAAAGAAAATCGAGAATTACAGACAGAATTTCGACTTTTTCGCGTCTGATTTAGAAAATGAATTTCTTCAGCAATAAAAGGGATTTTTAAAAATAAAGAAAAATGGCTTTCCCCCCCTTGATTTCTGATCCCCATCGTATTTTCTGTGATATTGTTTTAAAGAACATTACAGAAACTTGGTTGATATCTCATTTTGTAGAGAATTGAACGGGCTATCCAATGGAGTGGTTGAATAACTTTAGAAATGAACTTTAAGGTCTGTTAGGATTTCTAAAAAGCCCGATGTTTTAGAAATCTTTTCCTAAAGAACCAGAGGTTTGTTTCATTTTAATATAATTCTAAATATGTTATTGATTTTGGTGAAAAACATAAAGAAAATGATAAAAAGTTAAAAACCTGCAAAAATGAGGATGCTTTCAATGGGGCTCGTAACAAACAGACGTAAAAAATGGGTCAAATTTTTTTCGTAAAATTTTAAATCAACCGTTTTCTTACGCACTTTTTGATGTTCTTTCGAATGGCTTAATCAAAATTCTTTTTTCAGCCACTTATACCTGAGATGAAGTAGTCACATTGAAGAGTATGGTACTTTTAGCTTAAAGTTGCGTTTTCACCCTAAATAAAAAAGTGTTTCCAAAACTTTTTTCTGATAAAATGTAGCCCTTGCGCTGCTCTTCAAAATGATATATGACTCTATTTTTCTATCATCGTTACCGGTAGAGAAAAATCAATTTTAAAAACATACGAATATTTTTTTCTCCCAAAAGCTGTCATGTCCTACTTGTTCTACCCATAACTTCTACAGTAGAAGTCAAGATCAATCCAAAACTTCAGTGTAAACAGAGCAGTTCCAAAGCTTTCGTTTCATATATTGGAAAGCTAAAAAAGGCCTTTTAATGGTCGAGTTAAATCCAAAAAGCTGATCGTACAAATACTTTTTCCCGCTAGTGTATATTGAGATCCAAGATAGTACTACTTTTCATTTTTATAGTCTTATCCGACTCAGTAATTTCGAAAATGGATACGCTTTCATCAATAGTTTCAAGTAATACCTCAGTCTACTCCTCACCCTACAGTGGACAATCATTCCTAATTACGGAGTGATGCAAAATTACAAACAGTATACAAAGTGTGTGAAAAAGAACGAATTCTCTATTGCAAATCGTGACCACTTTCTAAATCTAATTAATAAACATAGAAAAAAATGTGGTCTCAATCATGAAGTCACGAAAATCAATTCCTGGATACACAAAAATGTGTCTTAGTAAAACTTCTTACATACTCAAGTTCTTGCGTGAAGGATGTCACAAGATCTTTGAAAAAACACCAAGAAATCAAGATCTTGGATTCTTGAAATTTCTTATGCTTTCTTTTAATTACAAGAACTTTCACTAGAGTAAGACACAGCAGGACAGTGATAAAGATCACTTTTGAATTTTGAATAAATTCAGCTGAGTGGAATTTAAGGCAATCATCAAGTGACTTTGTTATTTTACATATATAAATGTAAAACTCATAGCATTTGCTTTTTATGATTAGAGTAGAAGATATTTTTAGATAAAAATAAATCAATTTTTTTACTAGTCACTTAACAGTTGGAGAATAAGTTATTTCCGTATTGTTTGTTGATTTATATTTTTAGAATAAGGAAGTTGTTGAGTCGGAATAAAAAATGAAGATGATAAACAAAAATGTTTTTGATTTACACAAGTGCGAAGGCTAAACGAACATCCTTTTACAAATACAAAATACTTCCGACATAATCATCATACACAACAACAACGATAAAAAAGAAAAAGAAAATTACGAAGGTGTGTTGTTGTTGTAGTATGAGAAAAAGATGAGCAAAATTTGGAAAAAAATGTTTGTTATTAGCCATATGAGATGACTGTTATCTAAACACAATATAAATAAAGATCAAAAATAGCAATAAAAAAAACGTTTGTTTGTAATAAAAAATAAGTACTTTGTGAAAAAGAATAAAAACGATGATTTAAAAGAGAAAAAGTATCTCTATCACCAAATTTCACTGGGATTCCAAATCTAATTATACAGATAGTGTCATGCTGCACATCATTCACAATTTTGATGACTTTTGAGCTAAATGAGTGCTCTCAGATGAAACAAGATAGAATTTAGAATAGATTATAAATCAAAATTAAAATCTAGCGTATGATGTGATGATTCCTCCACTTCTCTCGATTAGGATTCACACTGATTATGGGAGAAAATACAGAGCCGAAAGATGTCTAAAATGACTGCAATCTTTCATCACAATACGTTAATAAACTTTGTAACTGCTGAAACTCTTTCTTCTGATATAACACCGGACTAAAGCGATTTAATTCATTGATATTTCTCTCTTCTATCTTTTTTAGTATCGTAAATCATTAGATGTGTATGTGACATTGTCTAACAATTTTGATTTGTGTTCATATGTCACAAATAAAAAAAGAAAAAAAAATGAGAATACTCCATCATCAGTAATATATAAAAAGAGCTAAAATTATAATCGTTTTTCTTTTTTATTATTGTCATAAGAAAATCGAAGTATTCAAGTGTATAACAAAGAAATAAAACTTTTCATTATGCTTATTTACCTAAAAAATATTTGCAGAAACAAAAAAGTATGATGTCCCTTTCTCTCTTTCTATAAAACCCAATCACTACTGCCACCACCTACGATAATTACATCTCTCTTTCTCTCTCTATGTTTACGTTTTTAAATGGATGGAATTATTCTCATATTTTTGTTAATTTCACTATGGTTAATTCTATTCACCATAATTCTAAATTTTATTTGTTTTAAAAAACAACATTTAATTAATTCATTAATTGATGAACATATTTAAGAATTGTTAAATTGTCACGTATTCAATTATTATGGACATTCATCTTAATAAAAGTCTTGGTACATTCTATCAAAGAATAACAAATTTATTTACTCAGCCCAAAACAAACAATGTTGAACTAAGTTCATCAGCACCAGATTCAACAACATCTCTCCTGTTTAATAAATATCCATCTTCTGTGACGTCAACACCGATACCATTAAGCAAACAACAGCAGCGATATTCACTTGGAATGAAACAACAACCGCAACATAATGTGAATTATGTTAGTGATGATAGTATTCCATTACATTCTAAGTCGACACAGAATTCTTCCTCATTATCGGGATCGTCACACAATTCTCTATCAGAAAATAAACATGTGCTTCTTCAACTGAATAATAATTCAAATTCAATTTGTGCTACAACACCTTCGCCTATCGGTATTAAAACAAATATAATGTCAAATAGTCCAAGTAACAATTGGTAAGTAATATGTTTTATCATTCTGTTACTTAAGGGATGAAGAAAAACAATGTCCTTTTCTTTAAAAGAATCATCTCATATTAGATGAGTGATCAGCTAGATAACTGAGATTAGTTTGATCTTCTTATTAGAGAACCTAAAAGCCAACTATTTATCATTTTTAAATTTTCATGTAATTAGTCAGCACTTCGAACTCGTTCTTCTAGTTTAAAGAAAAACATTTTGGTCTTTCTTAATTATTGGCATTGTAGGAAAAACTATAGTATACGATCCAGCTTAAAACGAACA